TCTAGTACAAAACTGCGTAGATAAAATGAATTAGTAACGTTATAATAAGACTGCATAAGAACTGAAGTAGAACCACTGATTTTTACTCACCTTTTATGACATGAGGTTCGTCCTTAGGTCAAAAGGTTGATTTTATATTGCCGATCGATTAATACCTTTTTGCACTTATGTAAAGATTAAATAATATTCCGTCAAGACTTCCCTGGGCGCGATCAACATACAACGCATAGCTAGAACATTCACAAAACTAATGATTGCGAAAGGCTTTGTTACATGGTAACTTATTACAGTTTTTGTTTATCATTACACGGCGAGTAAAGAAAAAAGTGGACGCGAAGTACCTCTGCTTACCTTGGAAAACAAATACAGTCCTAACCAAATGACGGAAATAGTGTATATAAAGGAAAGTAAAAACAGAAATGAAACGATTAAATGAATCGAATTCTAGCCGTAGCCGTGACGGGTTGCCTGTGGTACACGTAATCCTGCAAAGAGTTTGACTGCTGAGACACCCTATTGAGATATTATTCAAATCGCCATGCTGTCTTCAACGTGTTGATTCTCTACAAATCAAGTATAATAAGGTACAGTAATGATGAAAAGGTAAATTATACACCGTGAAAAGATGAAAAAACTCGTCGGACTAGCGTCCGAAACGTCAGTAAGTTTTTTCATCTTTTCACGGTGTATAATTTACCTTTTCATCATTACTGTTTCATAATGAAGTCTAATTTAGAAACACCGACGCAGCTCACACTAGTTTTTAGCTAGTTATATCTCTTTATAATAAGGTACAAAGTGTTCATATGTTATTAGTTAAGTTGTTAAATTGTGATTGAAGTTTTATTAAGCCATTCTATACCGAAAATTACCGAAAATAAAAGATCGAACCTTTAGTATCGAGTCACACGACAATGATACTGAGCATGCTTGTCTTAAAACGATGGAAAATATCTCAGTAGATCTTTTAGAACTTTATCAGAATGTCAATAAAGGTTGTATCTTTTACTCCATTGAGTTTTTTGTGTATTAATAAGCGGTTTAATGGACCAATTAATTTTCCTTCCGCATAAAGCGTGACCGCTAGCGAGTTAAGTTGTCATTATTTTATGCGTAAATAGGAGTTACGTTTCGTCTTGCCATAATTCGAATTTTCGAGTGCGCCAAAATTTTATTTGATAAAAATGAAGATAAAGCATTGCTAGTTGCCCCTATAGTAGCTAATTTGTGTAAATCGATGTACCATTGGAGACATTATCCTTGCAATGTAGGGTAAGAAAAATTGCTCAAAATATTGAAAATAATGTAAAAATCGATAAAATATTTTTGTTTTACGCAAAATGATTGATAAATCCACCTAAATGAGGGTTAGTATCCCAAAATTACGAAATTATATCGTTTGTCGTAGAAATTCAAAGGAATTTTGTGATTTTTAGGGCTTTTTGGAATGGGGTGAAATCGCGTGCAGAAACCGGAAGTGATCCTGAAAAAATGGATTTCGGCGCGGTTCTCCTAAAATATTTAACCGATCGAAGAAAAACTTACACAACAGTTTTAGTTCACTAAGGCCTATATTCAGACAAAATTTGAGCGATTTCGATTTTTCGCATTCTACACCCCTCAGGTGACATCTTAATGATTCAATTACAAGATACGAGCCTAATAGAAATCTACATTCATCATCAGAATTTCTGTTGGTACCAAACACTTATAATGTAAAATCATATGGTTTATCGTTCTTTTTCTGTTGCTGGTCCTATGCTGTTGAATTCTTTACCTTTTTAAAATAGCCTTTAGTTTGTAAATTAGTATGATTATATTTATATTTATATATATATACACTCAATTGCAGAAACGTTGTAGTATACATTTATACATATATCTAATTTAAACAGTATATTTAATGATATGCAAAACAGAAAAATCGCTTTATTTATTGTTTGTTTCATTCAATGACTGTCAAAATATTTTTTTCTTGTCTATTAGATCGTACAGAATATAAATCAGTTGGTTTTAAGCGTTGAACATGATTATTTTGCATTATGCATTTCATTAGATATTTGTATAAATGT